TCTCCTCCTCTCCTCCTCCTCCTCCTCCTCCACCTCCTCTCCTCCTCTCCTCCTCCTCCTCTTCCTCCACCTTCTCCCCCTCCTCCTCCTCCACCTTCTCCCCCTCCTCATCCCCCACCACGTTCTCCCCACCTTCTCCCCCTTCTCCTCCACCACCTTCTTCCCTCCTCCTCGACCTCCTTTGAACAGTGATACAGGCTTTATTATTCATTGCACCAAGTGAGTAATTGTCCGGAGGGTAATTGTCCGGGGGGCGATTGTCCGGAGGGTAATTGTCCGGGGAGTGAATGGCATGGGGGGTAATTGTCAGGGGGTAATTGTCCGGGGGATGATTTTCCGGGGGGGTATTTGTCCTAGAACCATATATACACATCCCAGGATACATGCATGAGAAATTACAAAGCAGCAATCAGAACCTATACTGAACCTGGTGGTCATAATATATGAACTAACCTTTTATCACTTTGCAGGAATATTAATTATTAATATTATGACACTGGTATAGGCTTCTAGGAAATTCTCATGTTGCTGCTAGATTTAAAGGTTTTGCAATAAAATCTATCAATCCAAAACGTTTCTAATGTCTTTGAGGAACCCTTGATAGAAATTTCGAAGAAACTGATCTTAAACGGGTTAAAGTTTAAAGAACTAAAAAAAAATCAATGCATCGACTTTTCAACAAAGAGTACCGAGTTGAGTAAAGAGTACAAAGAGTACTGAGTACTGAGGCCTAAAATGGCGGGTGCACCATCTTGTGTTGAAATTTCTCAAACAGAATAATAAGATACTAGGCTGATAGGGTTAGCGATACCTACAAATTGAATGTTAAACGATAATGAACGATCAATGACAACCAGGAAAACTAGCAATAATTTAATGCTATTTTTAGCATATGACATTAAGAGGAATGATATTTATTTGCAAATGCCGGTTCGAGCCACCGTGAACCAATGCGAGTGCAATGGCTGCATGGTAAAAGCACGATATATCTGTGGCGCGCAGAACGCAATGTACGGTAAGACAGAGATATGACCGTGACATTTACTATCTATTCTTAGCACAGTAGTTATCTTGAGACTCGGTCTTGGAGGAGTTATTACGGGTACTTTCAGTTTCAGTGATAATTTTATGCTTAGGCCTACCTTATTCAACCGATTGTTTCGCAGTACTTCCATTCCTCTGATTTTAACATCAGCGTGAGGACTCTTTACTTTGCCCCTAATATGGTCCGTAATTAAACGACTACTTGCGGCATATTCCGCTGTTGGTAATGTTCTAAGCAATTTAGCATAGGACATGCACATGAGAGCAGTTTGCATCGTTGCTGGTTACCGGCCTGTCCACGACTGACTTCTTTACCCGACGGGCGATGGTTGCGCTCAAGGAGCCGGAAATGACTGGTGTCATAGGAAAGTTTTCAGTGGCAAAATAGTTTGCGCATGTGTTCAGTTGAGGAGTGTATCGAAAACTGGCTAATCGCGACCCAACGCCAACGACAGACTATGAACAGACCTAGCCATATATATGTAAACAGACACGAACATCCAAACACGTTACGTACCGTCGTATAATCAAATATTATTCATGAATTTATGAATATTGCGATTGACAAACACACCCACGCCGTATCTCACGCGCTTGCGTGCGCACATGCACGCATATATATAGGGGACTCACCATCCAACCACCATGCATCCACCCCCGCATCTACCCATCCAACCATAGAAATAATCCAATATAGTTATATAGTCTCTCTATAATATTAATCCAACAATGCGCACACTCTTTTTCTTACGTAAATCCTTTTGTGTGCGCGCGCGCGTGTACGCGTGCGTGCGTGCGCACGTGTGTGCGTGTATATGCATATAGTAATGCCATGGTATGTATCATAGCACCCCCGAGAAGTCAAACCGTACTGAAATATAAAACGCATCATTGTTGCACGGACATGTGACGTCTAAAGGGAAACACTACACCTCGTAGCATATTTAGTCACATTTCTCTAGTCAAATATAGAAACTACTGTCATATTGAAATTTTTGTGTCGTGTAAATTTTATTGTTATTATATGTTTATCATATTTGCTTGAATATAAGGCTATACTGAGTCCAAAACTTCCCGATCGAATTTGCATGTCTTTCGTTTCACCTTGTTCATGCGATTGTCCGACAAAACGTTCTTCGCGCCGGCTCCTCTAATACGTATCGTTGATACCATTCTCGATAGCACAAGCTGAGTTCCAGGTCGCTGCATTATGAAGGGTGAACAATTTCCTGCTACCTGTAACGCAGAGGTAATACTCATAACGTTCTATATATATATATATATATCAGGAGCTAATAATGATGTGTGTGTGTGTGTGTGTGTGTGTGTGTGTGTGTGTGTGGTGTGTGTGTGTGTGTGTGTGTGTGTGTGTGTGTGTGTTTGTGTTTGTGTTTGTGTTGGTTTTGTGTGCGTGTGCGTGTGGCGTATGCGGTGTCTACGTGTTTATGTGATGTGTTTGTGTTTATGTATGTATGCATTAAAACAAACACATACGCCTAGATATGTATATATAAATGTGTATATATATTATATATATATATATATATATATACACACACCTATTTATATAACACCTGTTTTTTCTG